CGGCAAGAACAGCTGCCTTTCTGATCGTGCCCCCTCCGAAACTAAAGTCAGCAAGCCAAATCAACATGCTATCTCGTCGTGACCTTTTCACAGCACGCCTCGGACCCGATGTTTCGGCTCCCTCAGCCAGCCGCCGGCGACGACAGTGCCAATGCACTAGACCACCCCAATGCATGGACGACATGGCGCTGATAAGATGGGTTGATCCAGCAGAGATGTACCGATAAGCACGTTTCGTGCTAAGGCCCCGCCACCCCAACACTTTTTGCAACGCTTCCCACTTTCACATGCTTTCATGCCCACCGTTTTGTGTTGCTTGGAGGTAACGCCTCTTGCTATCCTGGACGCAGGGCTGGATGCATGGCAAAGGTGGCAGGGTCGGTGGGTTTCGTCAAGCCTACGTGAAATCCCGGTTCTGGGCATTTGGCTTTTTTGTACAATTGTCTCACTCCCCTCGTGGACTCGTGCATCTCGAACCCCTCCTCCTCTTTGCGTGACGCTTTTTTGTCTACGGAGATTGCGACGTGACCATTGAATAACGGCCGCCGCGGAACGTCACCCCGTTCTCTTGTGGCGCGGTACTCGTGGCTCTCTGACATATCTCCCCCATCCACTTGACTTTGCTGTCACCGGCGGGCGCCCGATTCCTGTTCATCGTTCGCGTCAAGACCATGGCGTCACTCCGTCATTGGACCCCCGTCTTCGAGGATGTCAAGATGGAGCACACAACCGTCTCATCGACAGTCCTGTCCCTGCTCCCGACGTCACTGCAATCACGCTTGCCGCCCCTGCGCTCAGTCCAAAAAAGCGTCACCATGCAGACCTGCCAGACCAGCGTGACGAACAGGACGTCCGCCCAAGAGCCGGTCACACCAACGCCCACGCCCCGAGGCTCGCCCAAGAAGCAGAGCCGCATCGCGGACAGCCCCTCTCGAATGTCCTGCGCCTCTACATTGCTGGACGATGAAGCCCTCGAATCGAGCCCCCCAAGCCCTCCATCGGGCGTTCACTGGCGGTATGCCTTGCAGGGTATGTTTCTCATCGTGGCCCGCCCTTCCTTCCACCCCTCTTACCCGGACTCATAACGGCACAGGCTCTCTCTTCTCTCGGTGGCGCGAGATGAAATCCACCCGCCGCTGCCCTGCGCCGAAGTTTGAGCGCAAAGCATTCCTCGACGGCGCAGAGTACATCCTGAAAGTAATGCTCGGCGCACCTCAGCCGCTGAGCTCGACGCCTGCGCACGTCGGCGCCCCGCGCCCTCGTCCTGGGTCCGCAAGGATGCGACTCGCCCCTTTCGAGCACACGGTGTCACTCGCCGTGCGGCCATGCGACGGCGGCGTCGTCGTCATCGTCGGCACGGCCCCGGAAGTCACTGCTGCACCGGTGGGTGCAGGCGGCGGTGGTGCAGATGTTCATCCTCGCGCATCTGGCGCTGCCGTACGTGGTGCTGCTCGCGCGGCTGGCGGCGCGGGCAGAGCGGGAGTACAACATATCACACAACTTGGCGAGTGCCGGGTGGGGGCTCGTCCACTCCATTGGGGCGCAGGGGGTCAAGGCGACAGGCACGCTTTGCGGTATCGGGGACGGCAGGGTCGGACAGGCCATTGCGGAGGCGGTGGCTTGGACGGTTGAGGGTGTGTCGGGGGGCCTGAGTGAGGGTGTCGGGCAGGGCATGGTGATCATGAGTGCCTCACGGCCGTAGATAGATAGATAGAGTGGTGCATTTTTGGGGGTTGAGGGGCGTTCGAGCTACCGAGAACGGGAACGCATGCTGTTCTGTGGTTCGTCTCTGGCGTTTATGATTGAGAGATAGGCTATGCTAGGCTACCTACCAAGCCTACCTACCAGGTAGGTATCTTGGCGTGGCTCGTTATGAGAAATGATAAGATTTTCGGACAAAACGATAAGAGACATGGCTAGCTCCGGCTTTCATTTGCGGCGTGGAAGACATGGGACCTGGTGGTGGCGTTGGAGAAATCATCATCAGCGGAGGACGGATGCCTGTCGTGTCTGGTGTGTACCATGTACCTACCTAGGTACCTTACCTAGTGAATGGTGGTGGTGTGTGGTGGTGGATGGCTGCTTCTGTGGGGGGGGTTTGACAGCTTCCATGAGGGTGACTGGCGCCTGCTGGCACTGAGTCCGCGTGGGGTGGCAGGTGCAACCCTTTTCCCGTTCCCGGGGTAGAAGGAGCTTATCATGCAGCTGCACTGTTCACCGAATCCAGGACACCACAAAAGTTCACAGTCGCAGGACCAACAAGGCAATCGTAGCCTACGCACACAGACGCCACCTATGCTAACCTACCACCTACTGTAGATATACTAAGGTACCTATACCGAAGGCCAGATCGCTGCCCGAGCA